TGATAATTATGTGTCTGAATTAAGGCAGCTGGAAGCAGGGCAGTGGGGTGGCAGCAGAGCTTAATGTAATGGCTAAAAAACGCCAACTTTTAGGCTAACACCAAACCATCTTTCTCCACAGAATAGCTGATGTCTTCAAACCACGTGCCTTTGGGATTGCAGCACAGCTTCTTACCACTGGGCTACTGAGCTCCATATATCACTATATACTTATATGGATATTTATATATAATAATTCATACTTTTGTTGTCTTTAATGCTCATGCTTCTTCAGTAGAATCCTTTGCCTTGGTCATTTTGTGCTGGCCACCTCATATTGCATATTACCTTCCCCTTCCCTCAAGTTAGTATGTGTCCACCCACTAGTTAGTCATTTATTTTCTCTCTCCCTCACATTCCTGGTAACAGTCAAAGAATGTTTCTTTATATGAGTAAATATTTATTTATTTTATGGTTATTGGACTCATACATTGCTTGTCTTTTTGTGATAAGCTTCCTGAATTATCCATTACAGAAAAATTGGTAGTGGAACTTTAGGACAGTACAAGCTTCTTACTTTGGTTATATCTTGGAAAGAATAATTGCTAAGTGTTTATGTTCAGATAGGTCCTGGATTGGCATAAATGATTAAGTACTTAACCAGATAGTAACCAAAAGTTTAATGGTAGAATTCACCTGGAGGCATGTTGAAGGAGAGATCTGGTGATCTACTTTGAAAAGGTTATGTCTCTGGTAAACCTTATGGACTATGGTTCAACTGTAAAACACAGAGTCACTATCTCGGAGTCAGAGCTGAAGCAAAAGTAGCTGGTTTCTTTCTTGTTTGTTTGATTGTTTGATTTTGCTCAAATACCTTTAAACTATAGACTAGGATCCTGAAAATTGACCTCCTGACTAGTGTTTTTTAGGAAGAGGCCTTCAGTGCTGCCAGATGAAGGCATTTATTTAACTTCTCTGCTCTTCCTCTCTTTGATAAATGTGTATAATATAGAGAGTTCTTTCACATGCTCTCTCTTTTTAAATTTTTAAATATACTATACATACATACAAAGAATCCTAAACTAGATGCCTCTGGAAACTGTATAAACATACAGAAATTATATTAGTTAAAGAACAGAGTTCAAGCCTTGTGTGCAAAGTTTGCTATGCATCGTATTCGACTTGATGACACTTAACCACTGCTAAGTGAGACTAGTGTTGTTCTATCTGAAGGAACATTCTTCCACTTTGTACATTACACTCTTTGCCAGTAAATCTGTATGAAGTAATCTGGGCTTGCTGTGGTGCTGAACCTTGTGCCATTGGGGTATCAAATACCAGAATGGTTTCCCAGTGGGAACAGTGTTTGGTGGAGCTCCCAGTTGTAAAACAGGGTTGGAAGCAGGAATGGCATCCACTTCCTAAACCACATGCCTCTGGTAACTTATGAACTTGGAGAAACGATTAAAGTTATAGAAAAGCAGCAGATCTTTTGTTCATAGAGTTGCTATGAGTCGTGCTTGACTCTACAGCAATCAACAACAACATACAAAGCAGACAGTGTACTGAACATCAACACAGTTGATTCCCATATGAAGTGGTCCCAGCAGATTTATTATGTGATTAAGCATTAATTCATTCTTGATTGATTTAAATGGAAATTTAATTTGATTGCCTCTTCAGATACAGTAGAAAGAACATAGGATTTGGAGTCAGCATGTGCAGTCCTTAGGTTCCTGTATCCACACTGATATTTTTCAAATTTTGTCTGTGTCATTTCCCAAAGTTTCTCAATTTTTTCACTTATAAAATGGAAGATTCAGGTGCACCTGTCCCAAGCCATGGTATTTTCAGTGGCTTCCTGTGCATCTGAAAGTTGGATGGTGATTAAGGATGACCAAAACAGAAGTGAGACATTTGAATTTTGGTATTGGTGAAGAGTTTTGAATACTGCCAAAAGAAGAAAGCTGTGTTAGATCTGTGTTCATCTTTTTATTTCCATATCTTTCCAGGAAACTTGGATTTAACTGGTCAGAAGCAAGTATTCAAAGCAGAGAACAATCCCTGGGTTACTCCAATTGCTGACCAATTCCAGCTTGGCGTGTCTCATGTTTTTGAATACATCCGTTCTGAGACGTACAAGTAGTAAGTTACTTATGATTTTCTAAAATGGTGACTGTGATTTCATTGTGTATTCATAATTATGTGACTGGAAAAGGTCTTATGGTATTTTATTGTTGGTACCTGAGAAAAACTGTTAACTTATAGCATTTTAGAATGTTTTCTTGAAAATGCACATATGGTAAACTAAAAACAACAACAACAAACAAAACAACAATCCCGCAACAAAACAATGGCCAAGTTTACTAGTCCTACAGAGACTGATGGAACACCCAAAACTATAATCCATCGTCACCCTTTGAACCTGGAGGAAAAAACCCTCAACCTGTTAGCTCAACTTGTAACAAAATAGACAAGCCTATAAGATGAACAGTATATAGAGGAATGCACTTACTCCTTAGAATAATCAACCATGTAAGATCAGCCAAGCAGCTTTTAAAGCCTAGCAATAAAGCTGAAGACAGGAAGAGAGAGAATACAAAAATTAATGGAAAGGAGAATCACAGCAAAGGATATGGTTGCATTTTATGTGATTATATGCTGTCCAGTTGAGAGTCGCTTGCAGCTCTTAATAGTCCTATGTACAGTAGCTCTAAACCCTGCTCCATTCTGAGCCGACCTATTGTCTCCGACACACCTACCCCATTACTCCAGTCACTGAGTCAATCCATCTCATCAAGGGTTTTCCTTTCCTGCACTGTCCCTTCACCCTTCCAAGCATTCCCTCTCCAAGGACTGGTCCCTCCTTATAACATGCTCAAAGCATGTGAGATGGAGCTTCAGAATCCTTG